CATCTTTCTTATGTGTCAGAAGTGATGAGTCGAGCGTGACACATCAACTTACCGAATGGCATGCATGGCCGCTGACGCACACACACGTACGCACAGTTCTAATGCATTCGGGTGGTGGGAGTTCAAAAACAAATAAAAGGACTCGCTTTTATCGCACGCACATTCATTTATATGAAATATGGAGCAATTTAGTTCTTGGGCCGTTTTCCATACATACATATCTGTAACGTAGGGCCGCAGGTCTTGAATACCAAATGTATGTATACAATATAACCGAGAGATAAGCAACGCATATATTATTTTGTGTGTTATTATGAATTTTGATTAATAGCAATTTGGGGTTGAGAGAATTTCGATGGGCCTCGTCGAATGGCTAATACATTAGAATAGACCTTATATTTACATTTTAATGGTTGTCACGCAGGTCAAGACGCATTCTCAAGTGAATTATCATTTGCTATGGAATATTTTGTTTTTCGTTTTCGATTGGAGTTGAAGCGAAGAAAGGAAAATCGAGAAAATCCCAAATGAAAACCAAAGGAAAGAAAAACAATGCTCTATTGTGCAGATTATTGTGATAGTATTGGTGCATACGAAAGGAAAAGAGAGAAGAAAAATTTAAGTGAAAATGCTGTAAAAAGCTGACGTAAAAACAATCTCTATAAAAAAACATGGCATCGACGAAAAAAACTGAAGCGAAAAACGAAATTTCAGCACTTGATGTGAATTTCGTGGGATAAACGATGCCTCAAACTCGATTTAATTCAATGACCAGAAAAAAACGAAGCGAAAATAATAATTGGTTTGAATTCAACAGTCCATTTCAGATTCAATTGGTGCAAGGTCGTCATCGTCGTTGTCGTCGTTTACAATTTATCCTTAGGTGAAGAACGCACACATTAGTTGAATTATGAGAATCCATTAAGCGAAGAGTGGCAACGTCAGCGTCGGCATCAGCAACTCGAGACGTTATAAATTCAGCGCATCTGATACATTTACATATATATACATATATATACACACACACACACGTTCATTCCACGTTTACACTCTCGCATCCGATGTAATTTAGTCGCACACACATTATTCACAATTTTTTTCTTCATCCAATTTTTTTCCTCTCTTACGTTTGGCTCAAGCTCATTGTATTCACTTGTTTATTTGCTTACCGTAGCATGGAAGAGAAGAGCAAGAGAGAGAGAGAGAATCAGAAGCGAAATAGAACACTCCAAGAACATATTTCTTTATAATATGCATAATACATGCCTTATACTCTACCATATACACACATATTGCGAAGGCAAGTTGAAAAGCATCAATTCACAAAACAAATATAATAATAAATTGCGTTTTCATATATAGTCGACAACGCCAACGACAACGGCGACGACAACAGTAACAACGAATAAACCAACGACACAATACAATTATTTCGAATACGGTAAAGGCATCGAATCGTGAATTTTAGTTAGAGAGAAGAGAAGAAAAAAAAAACAAGACACAATATGCGAAATACAAGGTTCACGGATGTGTGTACACATATTCCATCGAAACTTTGACGTGGTGTTTTTTTTCGCTTTTCGCTCGCAATTTTGTTTGAGTTAAATAGAACCGAAACATGCAGTTGGGCTACAGAATTAAAATGTTATTGAAAATGAAATTTCATTTTTTTGTTTCATTTTCGTGTTCGTTCCTTGACGGAAACAACGGAAAAGAAAAGAAGCAGGAGAAGAAGCTGAATAATTCTATGACATCTTACGATAAAACATTACCATACACATGGGTTACATAACACGCTCATTATCGCATGTGCGCCCGCTCACTCACTCGCACAATATGCACCAACCAGAAATTCTAATAAAACTTTATCATCTTTTATTGTTTCACTTTGACTTTTTTTCTCTTGTCGCATTCGTTTCGAATTTTTTTTCTTCTTCTCGCTGTGTGTGTGTTATTATGAATTTCGCTTTTATTTTCACTTTTTTATTTTCATATCTCTGGCGAAAATTCGCATTCTTTCATTTTTATGATTATCGTGACAGAACCTGGATAGATGAATAATGCTTCGAACGAGACTTTTCTCTCCCTCAAACTCGTTTTTTCTCTTTCACTCTCAGTCTACCTTTCACCATTTCGCTCTTTTTTTCCACTCACTCTCTCTGCCTTTTCTCTCTCTTTTTGCTCACATTCAACCGGCAGCTATTTAAATGCCACTCCATTGCAGGCTCACTCATCCAAAGTTTACGTCGAGAGAACGAAACACAACGAAAATTATGAATGTTATGATTATGAAAAATGAAAATAAAGAGAGAACTAGCAGATGGAACAAATTCCAATTAAAGCTTTTTTGAGAGCTCATAAATAATGGTGGTGCTGTTGCAACAGCATCAGTAGTAGCAACAGCGAAGCAGGAGATTTTTCTCTCTAGCAATTATGCATGCGAATTTTCCAGGAAAAATATACAAAATTCACACACACACAGTGTATGTATGTGAAATGTTGCGGAAATTTATGTTCAATCGTGTTCTTGGAAAAAGTTCAAAGCGCAGCATTTTCAGGCGGAAGAGCGGGCAATTGAGTGAGGCCAGAGAAAGGGAAGAGAGATGATGATAAATAGAGATGTAAAAGTCTTGAAATTTTCATTTTATGAGGTAAAATGATTTGAAATACTCGCAAGCCGATTTATAAGCATCAAACAGCAGTTAAACAAAGCCACATTTGGTTCACTTTTTGTACAACGGTGTTCGTTGTGAAGTGCTCGTTGTGAAAAAATTATGAGCACCTGGGGAGCAAATATAGGTGAATGCGAGGCCACTGAAATCTGAATCCAGATTGATTTTGGGGGAAACTTTTCCCATGGTATTTCCCAGCATCTATTTGATTATATGCAGAATTCGTTGGCTTCTTTCCCTGTGTGCTATGATTCATAGCCAATGAACAACGTGGAATTTATAATCGAAATGATTAGATATGCTGCATATTATATCCACTTTTAAAACCAGAACTGCACATATTACATTCCAGGTGATTAGGTAATTGCATATTAAAAAGCCATCGGTTTAATTCGGTGATTTTAACTCGGTTAGGATGATAATTCGAATTTCCAAAAAAATTGCAAACGTGATAACCATGGATGTTAGCTGCTAATTATTGGTGTCGGTGATTTGGTTTGGACTGTTGCAATCATTTTCCTGAACAAAAGCAATATGCACCCGGATCGAGCATCATTGTTATTGAATGGGTTTATGCGGTGTGGTGGCGTGACTTTGGTGGTTTTATTTTAATGGACAAAGCGTTATGCAAATGAAATATTTACTGAAATTCGTTCACATTATCACCATCGATGAATATTCATTTGGTATTTTCGAAAAGCCACCGTTTAATTAATTCCATTTCGACGGAACAAAGCGCATACGTAAATAAAGACATATTTTCGACTGTGTTTGCTTAAGTCTCACTTATCGTCGTTGCCACATTACAATCCCGTTCCGCCTGGTGCGTTAGAAAATGGTTTTTTTCTCTCGCAACCGTGAGAGAGAACTTTAACTCAGGCACAGGATCTCCAAGACAATTCTCAAGACTAACATTTGTTAAGTGCATGAGTGTAATGTGCGCTACTGCTGTTGGTGCTGAACGTTTTGACTCTGTGCTACTCATTCATTCATTTGCATTTTTAATGGTCTTTGTTGAGTAATTTGCGTAACGCAAACACATTAAACCATTTCATTACCATTTGCATGTTCATTTTTACGATCATCTCCATAGCGCGGCTAAATAAATGTTCATTTGCGACGATGGTTGTTTTTTCTCTTTTGACTTCTAGTCATCGTCTTGTTTCATTCTTATTCAGATTTATATAGAAGTAGTCGCAGCGCACACATCGAAACGGAATAGAAGTCTCGTATTGTGCCAAATCAAATGAAATGGAATAAAATTAAGCTATATATATATGAATATTGCCTACAGCAGAACCATGCCATGATTTTCCACACTCTCAAAACGAAGTCGTTCCGTTCCGTCCATTCAATATGTTTTGCAAATCGAGCGAAATGCGATGCCATATCATTTGCAACGGATTGCTCTCACTTTCACAACGATTATGTCAACTAGCTGTGTATCGACAGTGTACGAAAATAAGAATTTCCATCTAAATTTAGCCATTAGAGTAGCAGCATCAGCATCAACTCAATCTCAAGATTATTATCAACTCTTTTAAAAATAGCAGAATAATTTTCTTACGTCGTTTTTTGCAGCTACTCTTTCTCGTGCGTCTCGAGAGCGTACGCGCGCGGGCGCGCTCAAGCAAATGCTCATTTTAAGAGTCATTTGTTTGGATTCATTCGAGTCGTCGAATATGTTATGTGTGTTTTGATATTGTTAGTGTTCTATTAGCGTAGCGAAGCGAGCGTTCATCGGAACTCGCTTGGTGGAATAGCTCACTCAAATTCTCGCACCCAACACATATCGCATCTAGACTGTCTGAGATTTTTGTGAATTTAATCGAGTAGTTGTGATATGTTGTTTTTCCTCCTCACAAACAGATACATTTCATCAAATGATACAAGAGATGCGGAACGGTCAGCATTTCGAAAGAGAAAGTGAATAGCATATATAAAAATAGCATTTTTATTATCCGAAAAGGATGTGTACAAAAGAAAACGGAGCGAAAAGCATATGCGTACCCCGCATTGAAAATAGCACTCTCTACGTTCCTCATTAGCTGACGTTTTAAGAATCAAATGAAGCCATTCACAAAATTTGAAATCTTTTCAGCAACTGGCAATAGCCAAATATTGTGGTAAAAAAATGATGCTGTAAAATCAGAACCATTTTTTGATGTTCTTCACTCCCATTCATTCATGAATATGTGAGAAGTAAAGAAAATGGCAACATCTGATGCAGAAAAAAAGTTGTTTATGTTTTGGCTACGAATGGAAATGGCAAAAGTAAAAGAAAATGAAATGAAAAACACTTGAAGCAAATTATTTAGACTAGCTTACCCTTCAAGAGCAGAAACGAAGAAAATTTCCAGGCAATTTTCAGCCGTAGAAACACTTCAGGTAATAAACAGCCTAAGCTCAATTGCTTTCTGTTTGCTGTTTGCTGTGTACGATGACTTAATTCGTTTTGAAAGCAAACACTTCAACTCACAATTTTTCACGGAAATAATTTCGAAGCGAATTCTCACGCGACAACAAGAAAATCAACTCATAGAATTCACTTTTCTTTTCGTTTCAATTACACATAGAACGCACAACGTTCACTTATCAAGTTCGGGTGCAATAGATTGATCAATTTTAACGATTCAATCGAACAAATTAATTTGATTCAATGATGATTTTTGGTTTTCGTTTTCTTACTTTGGGATCAAAGATTCGTCTATCACTCTTTTATTATCGTACCTCACTCTTCACTTCATCGTCCACTCTTTACTACTTCACTTCTATTAGAAGCCTGCTATCATTCGCCCAGGGGATTTTTTTTCTCGTTCAAACCGCTCTGTATTTTACCTTAATATAATTGGAATTTATGTTTATATTGTTCACTGTGCGAGAGATAAGAATAGTCCCTGTTGTGGCCGGCGGTTTTATCGTAGCGAAAAATCGTTGTCGTAGCAACACACACTAATATCCAACTAAATGGCACGGTAATCATGCACACTCAAAACAGCATAGAATTTCGTAAAACATCCATGGGCCTTGTGTCCCGTCGTCGTCGTCGTAGTCTCATCACTCGCCGCTGGCTTCTCTTTCTCTATTCTCTGGCATGCAAACATACACACACACTTATGTGCCAATAATAAGGAACACCATGAATTATGATGACACGATACACTCTTTCTTTACGAGATTGGATGAGAGACTTTGCGACGATGATGACGATTCTTTTCAATGTACGTTGTTTTTTTTCTGTATTCTTTGCTCAAAAGAGCACGAGAAATGAAATATCGAATCGAGAGAGTGAGTGAGAGATAGAGAGAACTATAGGCTTGAACATTTTGCAAGGGCACTCGTTGTCATGATGATGCTGTTGCTGCTGCTGCTGGGCCGATGCTCGGATAATATAATGATAATAAAGCGCTCACAGGAATAAATATTTACTGCACAACACACAAGACTGACGGAGAGAGTGAGTTAGTTAGAGAGAAAGAGTGAACGGAACAACACACGTACACGCGATGATACTTTGAGTTTACTTATTTAATGAGCATTTCGCTTTGTTTGTGTTTATATATCTACATAGAGATGTTGTGTTGTGTTTTGATCGAAGTCGTCGTCGTATGTGCGCCTCTGTTCATTCACTTGAGTCTCAGGTCTTGGCTGTCGGTCGGCCGGTCGGTGACAACGGTAATGATGTAAAAAGCAGCACAGATTACAGATGAATGATGATAAATTCGTGTAATAGTTCAAAGTTTTTCGTCTGTTCCGAATTCGTCGGTTCCCATTCGAGCCGTTCCATCCGGTGGACCGATTGTGTTTACACTTAGAGATCTCTCTGTTTTCGGCCAATCTTTCTCTCTCGCGTGCGCGCGGCCTCAATCTACAACATTATTCGGAATCCGATTTAAATGTGTATTGTGATGGATTGACGTAGGCCAAGTACTTCCTCTTGTTTATAATGATTTCCTTTTGTGAATGCCGATGCCACTCTGGTTCTCTCGCTCTCTTTCTTTCGCGCGTGCTATTCAACTGTCAGCACTCACTCAACGATTGATTTTTTTTTTGGTTGATTTGTGGGCACAATTACATGCGTAACGTTCTTGTTAAGTGTAGTTTGGTTTTGTTTTGATCGCTAGTCAGTCGGTCGGTTGACTACATGGAATTTCATCAGAAATACCATTGATTTTTCCCGCCGTCGCCGACACCGCACGCACCACGTCCACTCTCTACGAATACACACAATGCGCTCCAGTCAAATACGGCAAATGCTTACAAAAGGAGTTCAGCTTTTTATTTCGAATGTCATTCGCGGCGTTTCCTTTTTGTGCTGCTGGTTGTCACTTTGTGTCAATAGTCAATGGCAATTTCACTTGTGTTTTTACGCATTTATTTTGACATTTATTTCGAAATGTTTGCCCATTAAGAAAAACCAATTTTTTTCGACTCTTTCTCTTTTTTCATCAAAACATCATTCGAATAATTTATCAGTACACTAAAAATCACCGCTTCACATCACACATTGGCCTTTAGCACTCACACGGACATCGTTTCTTCTATTTTCGATTGAATTTCCACAGAAACTTTGTAAATAAACACATATACAACGAATGCAAAGCAGAGAAAAAAACTTTTTTCTCGTGCACGTCACAAAAAAATGTCGAGAGAGACGTCTGGTCCGTTGAAAGTGTACTCAGCAACTGTTTTCGTTTTAGTTGTGCACAGAGCGCTGTCTCGGCTCACGGGAAGAAGAAAAAAAAATACATGGAATGTACTGTGAAGAGTGAATGCTACACGGCTCACTACAGTCACTCACTCACCGCGCTGTTTATATTTCGTACATTTGATGCTCGAAACGGAGGGTTGCTTTCCATGTTACGGTCTCTTGGTTTCATCGGAAATTCACGGGGTGCTGTGTGTTGCGTACAAACTAAACTTCGGCTTCCTTCAGTCATTTTGACAGCGAAAGCTTTGTGTATAGCTGGGAAACTCGTCAATCGTATTGAACATAGCAGCAACGCTTTGTGTTTGTTTGACGGCATGGGGAAGATGGATTTTCAGTTCAGTGGTTGGAATTGTTGGCTGGATTGGGAAAAAAAAACATTCAAAGCATGTGCAAGCTGAGGCATGCGCAATCAACATCCAAATGTGCTACTGGCCTCACGAGTGTGCTACTGGTTGGACGGACAATAAAACCAGATGTTTTGAAATTCCACACGAGATAGGCGCATGCATTTCCATTGCATGGAAAATAACGATGACAAAACGATTGAAACGGCATCATTCCAATCGACATCAATCAGAATCAGCTCACACACGTTCAAATGATTTGTTCGCGCTCAATCGCATTTGGCTTCTGACGAATTGAAACACGAACAGTACACAATAGTATTAAGGTTGCGACGCGATAGCGTATTGTACGTACCACGATTTCGTCAATGTGTATAAACTGCAATGTGAGACAAATGAGCGAGAGTGAAAAATTTAACCGAACGCAACTGAATTTGAGCTCAAGCAGTTTTTCGTGTACAGTTCGTCGTGTACAGTTCGTCGTTGAACACATGAAGCGCATTTTAGTTGATGGAAAGAGTGAGAGTGAGAGGGAGATCGATCGTGTATCGCTCGTATTCCATTTCGATGTACACAGTGTGTTAAACGTGTACATGACATCAGTACATGCGATACCGGAATACTGTCTCTGTTTCGAGTAAATTACAGGGAAATTAATGATATGTTAAGTAGTTTTTGCTCGTCTCATTTATCATTCAAAATCTTTATGGCTTCAGACGCGCAATAATTTCATGTGATTGTTTCCTCTATTAGGCGATTATGATGACATCGGAAAGGTACTTTCAAATTTCATTGCGGCGCTATATTTTTTCCCCTTTCTATCTCATACCTTTTATCTATCTCTCTGTCTCTCTTTTTATCTACATTCTGAGTGTATCAATCGGCTCACCGGTCAAATGTGTGTGCAAATTAACACCTGTGAACTGTACTCAACGCCATCATTCATACATGATTTTTCATTAAAAAAAAATTGTTTTCCCACCTTTGTTTTGACACGTTTGCAAAACGATTTCACCTGTGGCGACATTCACACACATGAATAAAGGTTATAACAACGAAAAAAATGCTAATCATACACCCAAAGGCCCACACAAGCACGAGATCATTTTTTCATGAGATTATCAGAAAACAAAAAAAGTAACGATCGCGCCTTATTTGCATTGGGCTTACTCAAATGGAATTTGATTCGTTCGGATTCAATACAAGTACATGTGTTTTAAGTAACGCAACAATTCATTTCATCGGCACATACATGTAGTCTAATTGCGGGCTGATTTCTCGACGCTCTTTTTCGTTGACGCTCATACAAATAAAATGCGAGGCTCATTTGTATAATTCATTCTCTCTTTCAAAACACTCGTTTTCCGTTTTGTTTATTGCAAATATACTTTGCCTCTCGTTCGGCTCTTTCTACTCCAAAATACCGTCTAGCGATTGCAATATGCTTGCAACTTCTTTTTTTTTTCGTCGCTCAAATTAACTTGTCTGTTTGAGAAAATGTTTCGTTCCAGCACGTGAATGCAATAAAAATGGCATTCCATTGCGCTGCATATGGAGCGAGAGAGCGAAGGAGCAAAGGAGCGAAGGAACGAGGGAGAGAGATAAATCGATGCATTTGAAATTCGTGTAAATTTGTGCTAAAATACGAGCCACCTAAATATGCCACACAAAACTTAAAATAATTCACGTTTATTTTTTTCGCAAATACGCGAAATGGTTTCAAGACTGTAGACCTTGGATTGAAATTGAATCATTATTTTATTATTTTGTTGGTGTTTTTTTTCTCTCTCATTTTCCTCTTCTTCGGCTACTGCTGCTGTTGGTTCCATTAGATAATAATATTTTCGAAGCCGTGGTCTTTGTTTGGGGTTTTTTTTTCTCCTGTTTCGTCTTCTTCTTCTTCGATTGCAGTTGCGCTTGTGGCAATTTTCATATGGAAAATGTGTCATCAAATTTATACATATTTGGTGCGCTTCACGTTTCACCGGGTCGAAACTGATTCCATTTTAGCTCACCTAACAACAACTCTGCTGCACTCGATTCTAACCATTTTTTTTCTGTTGTACACTTCGCTGTAGCATGAAGCAAAAAAAACACATAAAAATGCATTTCATTTACGTAGATGTAAATCGAATGGATAAAAATACATTGTAAACTAAACGAGAGAAAAAAACTACAAGGCAAGAAAAAAATGAGAATGAATTATCACGTTTTTGTGTATCTCGCCACCTCTCGTCAGCCAGATTGAATTTATGCTTTATACAAAATGCGAAACATCAAAAATAGTTCTCGAATCTGATTGATATATATTTACATATACGAACAAAAACACCGCTCCACTGATAGAGAGAGAATCAGCCGCACGAGCCGCAAAATGTATTCCCCACCCATCCGCTTCAAATGGGATTCATACAAACTGTATTTCAATCAAAAATGCCCTTGTCCTTGCACATTTCATATTCTGCCGTCACATTTTCGCATTGGAGGAAAACGGACATACACGCAGTTGCCATACCTATTTAAAATATTTTTTTTTTCTTTGCTGAAATTTTATTCAACCACTTGGAATGGATGAATTCATTAGCTTGACGTTGTAGCCGTTTTTCTTCCTTTTTTTACTTTTCTTGATTGACAATAGGCATACGTTTTGTATGGGGAACAATTTCGAGCATCATCAACGCTTTTTATTTGTTGACAATTTAAAAAATCGAGATAAAAAATGGAAACAGTTCACAATTTTTTACAAAAAATCAAAGAGAGTTGAGGGTTTTTTTGCGTAGCGTAAATTCATATGAATGCTTCAGCTAGCGGCAACCATAGAATATTTACATAAAAAACATAAAACATATGCCTGACTATGCTTAAATCATACATTTTATGAACGTGTCAGAAACATGTTTATTATTTTTCTTCTCTTTTTTACTGTTTTCACACAATTGTATCACTATTCTTTTCAAAACCTCAATTTTATTGATTGTGAATTATATCGCAGTACAAAAGTATGTTTTTCAAAGTTAAAGTCAGCGAAAATCCCTTCATTTTGTCTGATGAAATCGTCAAATTTCATTCTGCTGAGGATTTTCTGCATATGAAAAGAGTTCTTTTTCTCAATTATACAGGAAAATTTTCATCCACAACCAATATTCCATAGATATTCCAATCAATCGATTATGGGCCTTGGCGATTCAGCCATCTATTTGGTCATATTAACATATTCACTCGGTTGGGAAATCTATTATATCTGATTTTGGCTATAGAACGAAAATATATAGAAGCAAAGGTCCATACAATGCTCTAGTTTACAACCCAAATTTTTTTTCTTCTCCTCTCTTTTCATATTTTTTTTATCTCTTCAAAAAGAAAATTTCCTTTTTTTTTGCTGAAATTAAGAAAATCTGTAAAGATTGTAATTCGAAGTCTGATAAGAACTGGTGGTATTTCTTCATCGATAATTTTTTTCATCCTTTGGAGATAAGAACTATTCAACAAACGAATAAAAAAATTCGCATATTTCATTTTTCAATTGATTTTTATTATCAAAATAAATTACGATAATAGTTTCTTTGGTTTTTATGTACAGTTTTTCAGTGTTTGTGTGTGTTGTTGTGTTTTGACGTGATATCTTAATTGATTACAAATGCAAAGAACATAATCGTAAAAAAGCCCTATATAACTCAGCTAAAGAACGTATTGATCGTTCGTACAAAGGTTCTTAAGTGAATATGCATTCTGTCTGTCTCAATTCCGTATAGTTTTTTGAACGGTTCGTAGCAAAAATTAAACATACATGATGTTACAAGAGATCGATGTTTTGCACACATATAAATTTGTATAAATAACATTCAAATAAAATAATGTCTACAGCTAATTCATGAAATGAATGACACGAAACAAAAAATATATAAATTATCAAAAAAAAAAACAACATTGAAATGAAAAAAATAAGTTATGTGCAACGAGTATTTTTGAAAGAAAAAACAAATTTTGAATGGACCTCTGTTCCCTCAAGAGCAATGGTGCGCAAAAAAAATTGGGAAAGATAATTTGAAATACATCGATCTCTTGTGCGTTTAGGCGCGTTCTGAGAAAACCATTTCATATGATTTTTCTGGGACAGCTAGCGAACCAATGGCTACTTTATGTGTTACATTGGCTGGTGGTCGCATATCGAAATGTTGCATACAATTTGCGATCACTGAAAAACTCAAAAACTGTACCATTTTATAGCCCATGCAGCTACGACGACCGGCACCGAAGGGCAAAAAGTGATCCGGTTTTACGATGTGACCGTTTTGAATAAACCGTTCTGGTTTGAATACGGTTGGTTGATCCCATAATTCTGGAGACATGCTCAAATTGTAGTTGTTCAAAAAGATGAGCGAATCCTTTTCAATCAAATATCCACCAATTGAACTGTCTTGGCTGGCCACATGTGGGACGATTGGTGAGGCGATCAAACGAAGTGCTTCCATGATAACGGCTTCAGTGTATGGCATTTGGTTGCGGTCGGATAATTCGATGGCATCACATTTGCCGGTGCGTTTTTTGGTCAATGTAGCATCGATTTCTTGTTGGATTTTCTGCTGTACCTCGGGCAATTGTCCAATAAAGCCGAAAATTTTCACCAAAAAGTTACCGGTAGCCGAATGACCGCCCAAAATATCTTCCAAAGCGAATAAGGCGGTTCCCCATTCCATTTTTGGCTCCAGATTACGTTGCACATGGTCGATCAGCGATTCAACATAATCGCTTTGGCTATCGTTACATTCGGTCCACGATTCACGACGATCATCGATGATATTTTCCAGGATGAATTCACGGATTTCATGGGCACAGCGTTCCATTCGCTTCAGATTCTTGGTGTGTAGTGGCAACAAGAATGGCAAAAAATCAGCAGCATAGCCTTGGTTCACCTCCCAGAAAATTTGGTCGAAATTTTTGATCATGTTCTTGAATTTGGTATCGTTTGAGGCGAAACTACGTGAGCAATAGTATTGAGTGAAGATGTTGGCACAAGCATCCATGATGATTGGCTTGATTTCAACAGCGGTATCGGGTGAGGTGCGCTTCGATTGGATATCGCCTACCAAGTTGTGCATTTGATTTTTGATGATATCATTCAAGTCTTGGAAACGGATTGAGAAATTGCGTGGGAACGAGTGCTGGGTGAGCATATCGCGACGCATCTTCTGCACATCAGACCAATTACAGAAAGCCAATGCTGCAAATGAACAGAAAGATAAGGATTAGTTATGGATTTTTGATAGCAATTTTTTTTTGGAACAGATCAATTTTGAATCAAATTTTTTCAGTCAATATTTTCAAAAAGAATCTTTTGGATGATTTGAAATGTTGGAAGGAACATTTAAAAAAAAAAAACAGATTTTCACTTCATAAAATAAAAGACCAAAATCAAAACAAACACAAAAAATGCAAAAGAAAAACCAAACTAATTCAAAACACTTACAATTTTGTTTATTTCCACTGAACAGTGCATGATAGCGACGGAAATTAGGGCGGCTATCAAAGTGTGATGATTTGGTGAGTAAAACTTCTTTAATGTTATCGATGCCATTGACAACAACTGTTGGCACCGATCCCAATCGTAAACTGATGATGGGTCCATATTTCTTGGCCAAATCGTCAAAAGCTTGATATGGCACTTCATAGCCATCCATGCATGCCAAATTGCCGATGATTGGGAATGGTTTTGGGCCGGGTGGTCGTTGCAAATCATCAGAATTCTTCAACGATTGCTTGTCGTTGGTTTTCGATGCACTGCCAGTGCCGGTGTATTCAACAAAAAACACTAGCACAGCCATCACAGCGCACGTCAACACCATCAGCAGTGTGTTGGAACTTAACAAAACAATAGCCGACGAATCTATATTGATCATTTTTATCTTCTAATTTTTTTTTCTGATTCTGTCGAATGACACAATTTCAAAATGAAATAAAAACAACGATTTTCACACACGATACAAAAACAAGAGCGAAAATTGTGAGCAAGAAAAAACAACTTGATAACACAACGAATCGAGAAATCGATTTTCGAAAACAATAGTTTGAAGCAATGATGTTATGAGCCGTCTATTGTGCTCAAGATATTTGATTGATCTGATTTCGTTGGGATCGCGTATCGCTTTTATATGCTGACCACTCGACCAAAAGTGAGTGAGACCGAACACACAAAATGATGTTTACCATATCGTCCCATTAATATTAATGGTCGCAATCGAAATATATATGAAAAAAATACAAACGCAAACACACACACACACACACACACATATATACAAGTTAAATAAAAAGGCGAGCTGGAAAAAAAGAGTCAGCACGAAAAGAAAATTTGAATTTTAGTTCTGGATCATTTTTGCAAATGAAATCGGTTTGGCTTGTCTTTTCGTTTCTCACTGTGAATATATACGTTTGTGTATATTTGCATTGTTGTTGTTATTGCTTGTTGCATTTTTGTTTCTGCAATTCTTCGCCTGTCGCTTTTGACTTCTTCTACAACACAAACACACACTCAACTTTGTCACAATACGCTTTTTCGCGTCGATATTCAGGCGATCAATTTCATTTTTCATTTCATCTAATGAAATTGATAAATATTTTTGACAATTGAAACAGAAAAGATTGCACCAATTTTTTAATAGGCCATTCGATTTGCAATCGAGTAATACAGTCCAAATTGATCTGAACCAATTCGCTTTTTTTGCACATAAATTACTATGCACAGGCCTAGATTTTCTCACTCTTCGAAAATGTATGCTAAATTGCGATTCGTTGTTTCTTATTGTGGTTTCATCGAATTTGAGTGGATATTCTTAGAAGTGTTGCATCATAAGGCCTAATATGACGATTCTATTTTAGGTTTTCAAGAAAAAAATGTTCCAGTTTTCGATTTATCATTTGCATTTGACGTCGAAAGTGATTCATTTTAGGCTAATTTTAGCGCGCAACACCTAGACGCTCCTTTTTCACCAACAACATTACTGAAGCCCATATATCTCGAGATGTGACATAGATGCACTGGGGAGATGAGAACAAGATGACATAGATTACGTAGATGTCGATATTATCAATGATAATTTTGCATTTATTCAAAATCACTCGTCTCTTTCGCTTGGAATTGTAATATAGTAAGGTCATTATGCGCGTAAAGAAAAATGTCTGGCCGGAATGAAGAGAAAAAAGAAACACACCGTGAATATATGCAATTTCCTCATGAAGCACTTTACGAATGCAAATCAATAGATAAATCATGCGAGTCGCAGTCGCACTGAATAGATATTAAAACAAATGATTTTGCAAAGTCTCTCGTCGAAGCGACAGACAAACTCAAGTGGAGCTTTTCACTCACTCGGCATAGAGAGAGAGAGAGAGAGAGAGAGAGAGAGAGAGAGAGAGAGAGAGAGAGAGAGAGAGAGAGAGAAAGAGGGGGGGAAGAAATGCAATCAGGCTAGCAATTTCACATCTCGTTGACGTGCATAAGAATCCTGTGCACAAATGAAATTGATTTTGTATGCAGAGCAGATTCTGCATTAGATAACGATCCGACATCGATAGAGCGCATGGAAGTATATCATCTATTCCGGTCAGCTATGTAATAAGTGATCGAAATGGATTCAATGCTTCAAGTCTAAACCGTGTAGTGAGCATGATATACAATTTCGCTGGAATCAAATGAAATTTTCCATTCCAAGCAATGGATGTCATTAAGCTACATTACAATGCACTTCTCGAACAAATAAAGATGCGATGAACTGACCATTTTCCCTTAAACGTCCATTATGAAAATGGTGTGCGCGCGTGAAAATGGTGCACAACCCAAAGTGTGTGTATCATCGATACTGAATGACTGAGTCAATTTTCCTCATACATTTTTAAAATTGTATATCCACGAACATTCCGACAATCAAGTTCAAGTGACACGGCACGGTCTGTGGCTGCCATTCAATTACAAATTCATCCATCGTTTGGTCTGGCGTTGACGTCATTTCGTTGGCGCAAGTATGCAGTACGTCATCCGCATCTTATTTCAACATTCATTTACACACAATCAAGTTCAAGATCTTGAATACTCGAGATTTTTACATAGAAAAGTTGCTTACGATTTCATTCAACAAAGAAAAAACAGTGTCACTTAAAAATTGTATGCTACAGTGGGAGGTTTTTTTTAAAATTTCATGTAATCGAGTTTAACATATTTAAATATGCTGTTGAAGCGCTTGTGATTATGTAATTGAAAGAACGCCTGAAAACGTCTCAAGTCAATTGGATTCTATCGGTTAGACATAATAATAGAATCAAATGTGGTCCATTGCTACGGAAGAAAATGTGAATCCTCTGTGTTCCTAATCGAAGAATTATAGCAACTAGAATTGTCAGTCTGTCACCGCACCAAATTTAAGAGTCAAATTAAAATGAAGTAGAAAGCTGCTTGAATTGAATGACAAGAAGAAAGATTATTGTCGCTTGCGTTCGACATTCGTGTGGAGAGAAAAATATGCACCGCGCGCGTCTATTTACGAATTTAAAACATCCGGTAAAAGATAGCGGCGAGAAAAAAAAACGAAGCCATCCTTTAATAAAATTATCATAATTATTTTCTTGCTTGTCTTGGACGAATCTACGTGCTCGATTAACGAATATGTGCCTGAAAAATGGGATATAAGATCAGAGGCGTAGTTGAGAAAGAAAGAGCGCGTATGAAAATATGGAAATTTGGAAAAAAGACACACGAAATAATACATTTGGATTCGATTACGTTGATTTATGCACATTAACACCACTGTTTTCGTATCTTTGAGAGGCACATGTGCCTCCTTTCCATGCATACATCATAACATGATTCGTGACCGTCGCATCGCAGCCAATTCAACGTCAACCAAAACCCAGACAATAACTATTTGAGCCGGTAGAATATTCGTTGCGCTGTTCTCATTTGCGCGTCATCAAATGCAAATTTGCACGCAAAGGCGGCGGTTGAGGGGGTGTCCAGATGCTGCCTGCGACTGGAAAGTAAAACAAACAATATCGAATGTGCAATTTATGCAATTCCACAACTGGAATTGAATCGAAAAGCACCTCTCGTCTTAGAGGGGCGACACATTCACCACATATGGACTTCATTAACGGTAAGTAACATCCATGTAAACAGACGCGCAAACGACAAACCGAAGGCGCAAAATGTGTTTTTTTCTTCCTTTTTTCTCTCCATTCCGCATTCGGCAGCTACTTCAAATCGGATTTATCTGCATTGATAAACGAAAGAACGCAAAGTAATGACGAATCGGGAATATGCGAGGCAGAGGCGCAAAGAATTCTCCGAAGAGGAAAAAAAAAAACGATAACGAATCAAGTTATATTGTATGGCATTCTGGGTCGTCGCGAATTCGTTTTGAATGAAATCGATAAGACGAGTACGCTATATGCAAAAAATGCCATTTCATTTATTTTTTGGCAGAGGAGGCTTCTCTTTCTGGGACAAAGATAAGACCGTCGTCAAAACAACAAAACACAACAACATTTAGTATCCAGCATATGGCGACACATGTTATAGGCTTTCGTTCAATATTTAGAGTAGCCACTCGTTTTTCGGTCAAATGGCTTTTACGTCAAAATAAATGCAATTTTTATTTTGGCCCTCATATTCGTTCATTGAAAGAAGATGAAAAACATTTTTGGGCATGGGTCAATTCATACAAGCATAGTCGCGTTCAATGCAGAACAAAACAAAGCCAAAGTCAAAGAAAGTATATAAATTTATTATTGAGTGTTTTCTTTCATTCTTTTTGTGACAATTCCATTTGGTCGCATGAGTCACATAAGTCGATTTTCAGATTAACTTATTGCTAAGTTTCGGTTAAGCAGATTTATTTTTCGAACCATCGTAATTCACTTCATCACAAAATAGCAAATAAAGTCGGGTTCGTATCTCAAACCCTAAAACTTACCTTTTTCGACTCGGTTTCAACGGAAAATACCTTTTTCAATTCAATTAAGTCCTTAAGCTTCCTGACAATAACGTAATGTTATGGTTCTAATTTGCCGTGAAAATTCTCCAAGGAAATTCCCGAAGCGTTCGTTGCAGCTTCAAATTTGGCTTGGAAATTATATCGTAAGGTGTAGGTTTAATTTAATTATCACAGAGCACGCAAATTGCTTTCCTTCATTTCAAACCATTTCCACGGTGCTCTTCTCTTCTTTATCGTCGAGCATTTTTATTCGTTACGTTTGAAGTACTCGTTAAAAATTCCCTCGCAGTTTTTGTGGCGTCTGAACATATGTTCAGTAGGAGTCATATGACTCCTATTAAATGATTCTCTCTGTCTCTGTTTGGTGTGCAAATGTACATTCCAGGAAAAAATGTAGTTTTTCCAATATATTGAAATTCGTATTATTCTTATAAACAGTCGTAACCTACATTATCATATGCAAACCAAGAAGTCTGGCAGCCAAATCTTTATTTTGGTTCTATTTTTTTCTGTCGTGCACATTTTGGCCGAAAAATGTAAATGCCGAATTTGCATGATGTGCAGGTTTTTTTTTCTCCCGACGTAACAATGACAAACGAATGATAACGAATGGACTTGGCTGCTCGCAATAACGACGGAACTTATTGAAATGCTCTTTTTTCCCGTCTGAACTTTTTTTTGGTCTATTTTATTTGTCATCCACTTAAAGTGTTTGCCAAATTTGATTTGGATAATTCATGAACAAATTCCATTCTGAACACTCTAGAAAACATTTAAAAGTAACCATTCATTTATATTTCAATTCATTAGGAGAAACAAAGCGAAAAGAATTAAAAGGAAAAAATGTGACTTTGGCCAAGTTTACGTCAATTTTAAAATGTTCAGTTTCAAGCAAAAGTAGATTCAATGTGGCCAAAAGAGCAAATAGAAGGAAGTGAATCAAATTAAGATTTTCTCCTTGAAATAACTTTCGCCCGCCTATATGCCGATCAGCATTAGATTAGGTAGATTTGCGATCCGATATTCATGATTTTTTGTTTGTTCTATTCAAAATTATTCCGAAGAAAAATGCAAATAACCGCATGGGATAAAAACAGCTTCTCGACAACATTTCGATTGCAAGGGATGAGCCAACTGGCAATAAGCTAATTTTTATGTAAAATCTGTTTT